CCCAAAGTGGCTGCACTAATTTGTATGCCAGCAGCAGCATAGAAGTGTTCTTTCTCTACATCCTTGCCAGCATTTGATGCTCCATGTGCTTTGGATTTTAGCCAATCTGACAGCAGTGGAGTGACGCCACATTGCGTTTTTGACTTGCATTTACCTATGACTGGTGATGTTGAAACTTTTTTGCTTGTTTAATATTTATTTGCCATTTCTATTTCTTCTTTTCAGACTTGCCTATTAAGGTGTTTTGCCTTAATAGGATTGTTTCTTTATTGTTGAGTTTTTAAAGTAGCTGAAATATTTGGGGCAGGAGTCCTTTGTCAGATAGAGCAAGTGTTGTTTTTCCCCATTCTGCTGGATGCAGATGGGGAAAGATCTGTCTCAGATCTTAAATTTAGATCTTTGATTCATCTTTATTTTTGTATATGATGAAGATTTAGATCCAACTTCATTCTATATCGGCATAGATAAGTGCAATGTTTCCAGCACCATTTGTTGAAATGATTAACCTTATTCCATTGCATGGTTTCAGCATGTCAATCAAACATCAGTTTCTTGTATGCATATGGATTCATTTCTGGGCTCTCTATTCGATTCCATTGACTTTATGCTAGTAGCAAGCTGTTGAACTACTGTTGCTTTGTACCATGCTTTAAAATCCAGTTTTATGATGCCTCCAGCTTGGTTTTTCTTGTTCAGGATTGCTTTGGCTATTCAGGGTCTTCTGTGTTTCCATACGATTTTTAGGATTGCTTTTACTAATTCTATAAAGAATGTCATTGGTATATTTACAAGGATTAAATTGAATCTGTAAATTACTTAAAAGTACTATAGACATTTCAGTAATATTGATTTTTCCTATCCAACAATAAGGAATATCTTTCAATTTTTTCATGTCTTTGATGATTTCTTTCATCAATGTCTGATAATTTTCATGATAAAGATCTTTCTATTTTTTGGTTAAAATTTATTCCTAAATATTTTAGTGTGTGTGTGTGTGTGTGTGTGTGTGTGTCTACTGTGAACGGGATTTCTTTCTTGAATTCCCTGTGAGTTCATTATTGATTAGCATACAAAAAAATCTACTTTTTATATGTTTATTTGGTAACCTTCAATGGCTTAACTTTACTCAATGGCTTATCAATTCTAACAGGCTTTTTGTGGAGCGTTTAGGTTTTCCCACTTATAAGATAAGGTCATCTGAAAGACTATCTCAAGCGACTGCCTGCTTTCAACTTTGATGGTCTATATTTCTTAATTGTCGTTAATTGCTTTTGCTGAAAACTTCTAGTACTATATTAAATAATAGTGGCAGAAGTGGACATCCCTCTCTTGTTCCAGGTCTGAGCTTTTCCCCATTCATTCAGTCAGATACTGGCTGCTGTTCTGTGATATACAGCCCTCATAATTTGAAGAAATGCTACTTCTCCCACCTAATCTGTGATTTTTTTTTAAAATCATGAAGCGGTATTAAATCTTACCAAATACTTTCCCTACATCTATTGAGATGATTCTAAGCTTTTGGTCTTCATTTTGTTGATGTGATTTATCGTATTTCTTCATTTGCAAAGGCTGAACCATTCTTGCCTTTCTGGGATAAATCCCACTTGATTCTTATGCATGATCTTTTTAATTGTGGCTTTGGATTCAACTTGCTTGTGTTTTTGGGGAATATTTGCATCTATATAGGCCTATAGTTTCTTTTCACGTCTTGTTATGAAAATGCTGCTGGCTTCATAAAAAAAGAGTTTGCTTCTCTAGATTCTCTGGCTGTACTGCCTGGAATGATGTCTGAGTCATTTTGACCCACCATGTACCCTGTGTACGAGCATACAGCCTCTCCATCCTTTACCTTTGCTGTCATTAAAATGGGGATAATCACAGTTAAGTACAGTGCTACAGCTGGGATGACATGAATTAACACACTTCACTCTCACGAGAATGTTTTTACACATATGAAGTCATTAATAAATACTTTCCATTTTAGTACTTATGTACTAAACATAAAAATAAACATAAAAATAATAATAAATAATAAAAATAAACATAAACATTTAAATGCCCCTATCAACCCATAGGTCTCGCTCAAAGTTTGCCCTTAATTCCTTCCAGGCCTAAAATTTTCAAGAATATTTTTTTTCCAGACAGTCCCTTTTAAGATATACATAAATTATGTAAAAATAGATAAAAGGTATGAAATAATTAAACAATAGTTTCACAAATGTCTGTAGTCTGTAAATACCTTATCAAACCCCATAATAGTGCAATTTGAGAAAGAGTGGCCAAAAAATAGAAAATGACCTCTCAAAGCTCAGTGTGAACTCCCAATTACCCCTGCTTCTCTCTAGCTGCGTTGCTTCTGTGCGTGCTGCTTGCTCCCACACACACGCCCTCAGGGAAGATCCTCGCCAGCTAAGTCAAAGGCAAGTGACACCCTGCAGTGTTTTCACCTGAGATAGCTATCCACCTGCCCCAGCCCACCAAATACGAAGAGGATGCCAAGCATGCAAGATTAGGCCAATGTGCCTAACTCAGCAGGATTCCTCTAACACAAACCAGCTAAGTGGTGCTGCCAGTTGCCCACCATGGTTACTGCATTCCTAAGGGGTTTGGTAGAAGGAAGGAATGGGAAGAGAAATGAGGAATTCAGAAAGTAAGGATGAGTTAGGTCTGCATTTCTTTGGGTCTTTCCAGACCATCTATTCTAAAACTTTGCAATCAGAGGGACGTGAACAATGGAACCAACCATCGTAAAAGAAAACATACCCAGAGAAACATTTACATGTTAGCTGCCATCTCAAAGGAAACCGAAAAGTGAAATTTTTTTTTCAGCAACGCTGAATCACAGCCCTCCCCACCACCCAAAAAAAAAATCTGTAGAACATTTCTTCTTTTCTTTGGAGAAAACTGAGGATCTCGCAGGTTACATGTCAACTGTTAATGATTACTGTGATGAGGCCCCAGAAAGGGGTGAGTGATGGTCCAAGTCAGGACATCCAAATGTTTTGACTTGATGCTTTTAGCTTGCTTGCAAAATGGCATCAATACATTTTATTGGAAAATGGGATTTTAATTCATGTTTGTGCTTTGTAACTACATGTTATAAGACTCTAGTTTTCCCAATTGGAGACACTCAGAACTCCAGATTTTTGCTGTGCAATTTTTTATGTATACTCGAATGCCTTTAGACAAAACAAGAACCTAACTTAGCCACCCACCAGCCACAAAGGCATCTGGACCACATAATATTTTTCTAGGGGGCCTGCAGGACTGTTTTTGTGTCCTCATTTATTTAATCTGGGGAAACAACAACAAACAGCATCTGAATTTCAGAGGCTTCTATATTCACCCCAATTTTCCCTTTCAGTCAATGGCACCGCATGACTCATGGTCACAAAGTTGGGTTGCTCAGCAGAGACCAAAGCGTAAGACACTCTGGCCAGTTCTCCATAACCACCAAACCCCACAATCTCTCGATCTGCGGCAAGGGAACCTGCATGGCGCTTGGCAGGACCACCAGGTTATCGGGAAGAAAAGCAAATCATTGAGCTGAAAAGTGGGCTCCACAGTCCCGAGCAGGGTAAGAGAGGTGGAGACCTTGTTTGTTTTAGTTCAGGAGTTTCACTGTAACAGCAAGGCTGGGGTGGGGTGGAAGGAGATTACTGAGTTCTTTTTTCATTACAAGGTGTGACTGAGAACTTGCAATTTTGATGACATGTTTCTCACTGAGAGACTGTCACCACTGGCAGGCCATTTTGTGACACCGATGAAAAGCTGTGGGACCCTTTTCTGAGGTCTCCAAGACCAACCCAGGTTATAACTTCATCTAGTTTTCATTTGGATGAGGAGCTCGGAGCAAAGGAAGAAATAAACAAATGTGTTGCTTGAGCTCTGGAAGCAAAGCAAAACGAGGCTGAGCCGTGTCAGCCTGAGCTTGATCCACAGGCTCCCATCAGCCCGAGCAGGACGTCACACCGTCTTTTTGCTGCTGCCTTCCTGTCCTTCTCTGTCCAGCTCCCAGAAACAGGCCTTCTTCCTAGCCGGATACACCTGCCACTGTGAGTTTGCAACCACTTCAGTTTTACTATATGGCTAGTTTATCTTATTGCTAGTGTATCAAGACATACCTCAGAATAAAAGGAGGGCTCCAGAAACACACAACTTCTGATGTTTTAACAAATACATCGTAAGATTAGAAGAAGCAAAGATTTACATACTCAAAAGAAAAAAAAAAGAAGCAAATAAGACAGTATATAAATGTGAACTTAGATATGAGTAGAGAGAGAAGAAAGGAAGGAAAGAAACTTAGAGAACAAAAATATGTGGACACAGAAGGGAAAAAAAATGAGCAGAGCATGGGCATTTAATTCAGTTTACATCTAGGGAAGAGGTTCTGGGGTTCCAACATTCAACTCCCTGCATGGTAAATTCGTATCATTAGGATATTAGGATTTTCCTACTTCTAAGATGTAAGGAGAATTTTAAGTATTCCAAATTCAATTAATTGGATTTCTATTTCAAGGACGTGTCCACCTAAAGTCACTGCTGTACTTATTTATTTTGTGCCCTTCAGACACCAGCACATCTTGATTTCGCATACTGCAGAGTAAACAGAGCTTTTTATCTTTCAGCAAAAACCAAAAGAAGGATCACCAGGCAACGACTTTGGTTAAGAACCGAGTATGTATTTCTTTGCTTCTCCATGAATTTTTGGAGCTACTTCCTATTCTCGAGATGTTGAACTTTCTTTGTAACAGACAAGAGATATTCACAATTTATTTATCTGAAGGATTGAAAAAAAAAATGTGCACAGCATTCCAAAAACAAGACTTATTCTCAAACCTTGCCAATGTTTTTCGGATCAAACCTCATCTCTTCTAAACCCAAGTGCCCTTTCTAATAGCTATGATCCAGCCCTCAGTGAATGGAGAGGCAAAGAAAGAACAGTAGATGTGAATGGGTCCAACGTAGCTTGTCACAAAATCCCCTACCATAATTCTCACCTCCCTGCATGCTCATAAACTCCCAGTATTAGGGGAGGCAGTTGGAATGCGGTTGAAGACCAGAAGCACCACGTTCTCAGGACAACTGTGACTTCCAACATCGGTGCTGCTATTACCAGCTCTATATCCACAGCTGAGTTCCTCTTTCTTCATCTCTGTGTTCTTACAATGAGCATTCCATAAAACTCTGTGAAGATCAATAAGAAACACCATTACAGATTTAACATAATGCTTATTACACAGGCAGTGCCTAGCATAACATTGACATGACACTAAAATATGTTTAATTGATGGTAAATAGTAATAGCAAAACAGTTATTCCACCTAGGTCATATTAATTGAAATAGTATAAAATGAAGGTATAACTTATACAAGCTAACTTCATCAGAGATGATTATTATTTATGGAGACAGTATCATAACTTGAGTTTACCTAAACACCAATTTGATCATAGATCTTAATTTCAGAGGGTCAGTACAAAAAAAAGCATTTTGTGAGTGACACCTATCTGCTATGCTCTTTGGTGGTCACCACCTGGTTGATGGTTCAACACACTGGTCATCATAACACACAAAGTCCACCAGCATCCCAGTAGACATTGTCAGGTGGGTGGCTCTGATCCACTCATTCAAAATGACTTGAACTTATTTACAAGCCTGCTGTACCAAGTCAGAATCTCATCAGTGGAGCCTAGCCATCTGTACTCTGCCTATTTTGCATGTCTCATGGATGCCTGCAAGAGCCACATTTACAACTCCTTATCAGCTCCAGATTCTTCATGGGTTTCTATTTTCAATACCTACACAGGCCACAGAAATCACAGAAATACTAAGCAAAACAAAATGATAACATCAGGTTCATTCACTGTCACACGAAAGACTTTAAAATAAATACAAAACACAAAATATGTTTCCTCAGAGTGAAATATTTTACTTAACAAAATAGTGATTAACTTTTAAGAAAGGTGTTAACTTGTAAAGAAGGCTGTAAGTTTCAGGTGCCTAAAAATGCAGACACCACAGAAACGGGGCAGACATCAGGCCCAGCATAAGCTAAGATGCTTATGCTGTATGTTGGGTGACTGGGTTCAAGTCCCGGCTTTGCTCTTCATTCCAGCCTCCTAATGACAGACCTGGGAGAAACAGCTGATGTCCTGGAGGGGCGGCTCCACATCTAGTTCCCACTACCTGTGAAGGTAGCGCCCCACTAGTAAGCTTCAAGTGGTGACTCCAGTAGCTGCTACCAAAGTAGGAGACCCAAACTGAGTTCCTGCCTCTGGGATTGACTCAACTGTACTTCTGTGGACACCGTAGTAATTAATCAATAATTGAAAGCTTATTCTCTCTCCTTCCCTTCCTCTACTCCTCTCTGCTTTCCTTCCCTCATCTTCTCTCTATTCTTTCTCTTCCCTACTCCTATATCGTTCAAAAGGAAAAAACAATTCAAGTTTGAAGACAAATTAATTTTGGTAAAAACAAAAATTTAATGAAGCATGGCATTACTATAAAGCAATATTCTCATAAAACTGATACTTCTGTCTTAATCATTATTGTAAGACAAATGATTTTAAAACATAACCAAAGAAGCTGCTATATCCTATGAATTGAAATTTTAAAAATTGATTTGGTTTTATATACTTACCAGGGTATGCAAATTTTGACCGCACTAGTCTACATTCCTACCAGAAGTGAATAAATAGGAATAAATTAATCAAAGAATTAAAAGTCCTCTATATTGAAATTTATAAAATAAAGATAAAATTAATTATATAGGACATAAAAACATGGAATGATATCCTGTGTTCGTAGATTAGAAGATTTAATATAATCAAAATGAGCATACGACCTACAGCAATGCACAGACGCCACACAATCTCCACCAAAATGCAAATGACTTTTTTTTTAACAGAAACAGAAAAAATATATATATGTAGCCACAAAAGACTAGCTAATGTGATTCTGAGCACAAAGAACAAATAATACTTGACTTACATATTAGATACGTATAGTAACTAGGACATTGTGATAGTGGTATAAAAACCAAAGAGAATAAAGATTTTAGATCTGTATCACCACCACAAATTGAGCACCACTACAAGTTCCCAGTGTGAGTACAGAGGTAGAGGGAGGATGCAATAACAATTAATGAGGATGTAGAACAACAAAACTTCACAGCCATCGGAAGCACAAAACAGAACATAACCATCATGTCTTAAAGCGAGACACAATTCAGAAATTCTACTCTGACAGAAAGCCAAGAACAACTGGACCAGAGGCAGGTTCTGGAATATTGTTCACAGCGTTACTCGTTACAGCCTCACCCCCAGAACTATCCAAACATCCAGTTACGTTCAACCAGGAGAAATCTCTCATTGAAAATGAATGAACAACCACCTATGGGTATGCAGGATAAAATGGGTAGATGGGAACGTTCGGCATATGGTTTCTTCCAGGCATCCCTCCAGCAGATGAAGTTACACTTAGGAGAAGTTACACTTGGCTGTTCCTTAGTCACCACCTCCTCTCCTAACACAGTCCTCCTTGTCACCATTAGTCTTTAGGTACAACTGGAAGCTCAGAGAACGTGGAGGTGCCATTCTCTCCTGGATCATCCCAAGAAGTCAAATTCAAAGAATTTGGAAACTTTAAAGAAACAGAAACCAACACCAAAAAACTGTGAAAGAGAATTCTTATTGTTTTCCTAGGGAAGGGGAAAAAAGGTGTTCTTTTGCTTCCATGAGAAGCAAGAGGGAGGGGAGCGGGGGAAGAGCTTGAAGCAGCAACTTCTCTAAAGGATGCCCAACCCTCCCAGGGTATGATAAATGCAGTCACGGTGTCCACCCTGTGGTGGAAGTTACTCTCATCGCATGATGCCCACTCTGCCTGTGGTGGGAGAGGAGCTACAACCCTAGTGGACGCATCATGAGGGGGCTAACTTTGGCTTGTTAAAGTCCCTTGGATTTCTAAGTGTGGAAAGGGTAAGATGCCCACTTCTCCAGGCTTTTGCCTCCGTGAAACAGGTTAAATCATCCATATATCACCCAAATTACATGTATCATTTCTACACTTGATCTTAGCCAAAAGGCCGAGAAGCGATACGTGAATCATTTTGAATTTAACATCTTCAGCAAGAGTATTGCATTGATACCGTTGCCGGGAACCAATAGCAAGAGCTGTACTCAGCTTTGCCCATCCTCACAAAACCTACAGAAAACCAGATTGTTCAAGCAAATCAGACCCCCCAGACAGACATTTTCAAAATTTGTAGATCAAAGGAAGATAACGTGTATCACACAAACGTTTTCTAAACATCCATCATAAAATTTCTTTATGAAATACCAGAACTCAACAGTACATTCAAAGCACAACTCAATTTTTTTTTTTTAACATCATGGCTTCAAACCAAGTGAAATATCAGATTGGGTCACATTGGGTTTGGAGAGTATTTTGATGTTCTGGTTTTGTTCCATTTCAATTGCCTTACAAAAATTTATAATGTCAGTCATGGCTCAAACTGGCTCTCAGAGTCTCTTGTGGGGAAAGGCGGTTAAGATGGGAGGGGAGACCTGTGGTTTGTTCTTGGTGCCATAGCAAGGGATAATCCAGGGGGTTAATTCCTTTCAGCCTGGAGTCTGTTAATGGAATTCCTTCTGTTCCTTAACTCAGAGTTTGACTGCGGTTAAAAAAAAAAAAAAAAAAAAAAAACTCTTGAGTTGCATGTAATTTTTCATACAAGAAAATGTCTTTGCCTAAAATGAGCTAGATCGAAGCACAAATAGATTCTTCTTCCCTCCATAGAAACCAACACAATAAAGCCATATTTAGAATGACATTAGGTGGACAGTGAGTGCTGCTCTGCTTCCTTGTCTAGAAACTGACAACCTGAATTCCATGTATATGTATCCCCAGTACCTATCAGCTGTCGGGGTTTGGGCCTGCCAGCAGGCCCCAGGGTCACGGCAACAGTGCTCCCTGGCCATAAGAAGCACCGGAGACAAGCTAGCGAGGAATATCTGCTTTATTATGCACAGGTTACAGGTTATAAAGGGTAAGGAAGGGGAGGGTAGGAGAGCAGACCCCACACCCACCAAAGACACTGTAATTGACTGTATGACATGTCTGTTTCCCTAGATCTTCCGGTCATGTCAGAGGTCATGTCCATGTGTAGTCTCCTTGACCTTCTAGCCATGTCGGAGGTCATACTCCACGTGTAGGCCCGAAAGCTGTGCCTCAGGCCATGGGGAAGTAAGCTTTAGGCCACGCCCAGGAGGCGGCAGAGCAGGTGCCTGGGGTGATCGCCCACAACAAGCTATTTATTCTCTCTTGGTGGCCTTTATTCTAAATCACCCTTGGCATACCCATCTCAATGTTTCTCCTTTAAGAGCAAGTCAAGTTTGCAATCACCAGATCAGTAATGACTCGATGAATTCTAAGCAGAGAATACAGGTGAGCTTCCTGTATTCTGTTTCTTTATATGTTGGCTTGACAAGTATTTCTTGAGCACCCATCAGGGTCAAAAACTATTCTAGATGCAGAATCACCTCCAGACTGGCATTTTCCAGAAAATATTAGTCGTCAAAGAAGACAGAATATATCATAGCTGGAATATGATATGAAGATAAACAGAGCAGAAAAGAGGGTACCCAAGACGGAAGATAATACAGTGTTTGTCAAATCTAAGTAAGGTAGTCAAGGCAGGGCCAGGTGACGAATCAGCTCAGGTGCCTGCACCTCACTGCCAACACCAGCTCATGTTCCTCATCTTTTCCTAAAAGATAGTGCCACCTGTGGTTTGTTTTCCAGATCAGCATGTGCCAGTTAAGTCCTTCTTTATATTTTATAATCTTTTGCTTGGATTAAATCCTTTGCATTTTGCTACTAGCCATAACCCCATCGCTAATCATGCATTTCTCTATCCAAAAAAAAATCTCTCCTCTTAGGTCCCACATCTTAATGTTCTCTTGACCGTTTCTGAGCAGATGTTTACATTTGCCATTTATGTCAACGGGCAAAAGATAAAATAACAGCAGCTCCAGAATGTTCAATCCCCGTCCCTACCCTCCTTCATGCCAGATCAGCCTGGTTCGTGATTGGAAACACCCAAGGGTCTGGTGCTGAGCGAGATGTTACAACTAGACCCAAGCGGTAAGTTCAATTCTGGCCAATTACTCACTGCATCATCTTGGGA